CCAGGCCTGTGCAGGGCACCCAGGCCTGTCCTCATGAGGGGAACCGGCCTTCTCCTTGGGAGACCTCATCTAGCCCCATGGCTTCAATTAATTACCAGATGTTGGTGACTCAGACATCTTTATCCAACCCAGATCTCACTCCTTGAAGACCGAGAAGTCAGCTGTCCAGCGGGCTGGTCACCTCCACTCATGGGCCCTTCAGTGTAGCCCAAAGCCACCCCCATCCTCTCCTTGCACAGATTCATCTGTTTTCAATTTGTCCCGCACCTAAGGGGGATGGTACCACCACATAGTCAATCGCCGAAGCGAGAGTTCTTGACCTCTTCTCTGGCATTTACTCTTCTCAAAGACTTTCTTAACGTCCTGCATATCTGACTCCTAAATATCCCTGGAATCCTTCCAATTCCCCTCACCCTCCACTGCACCACTTCAGGCCACCATTTTGCCTGCCGATTGCCTGCCAGTGGTTTTGTCTCAACAACAGTACCTCCTTCCTATCTATCTTCCAAGCTGCATCTTGCTAAAATGCAAATCTGATCCCATTTCAGCTTTCCTTAAATCTGTTCCTAAAGTTTCTGTAACTTTTGGAGGACAATCTCAATCTAATTTTAATATGGCCTATAAGCCTGCATGATCTGGTGCCCACCCACCTCTCCAGAGATCTCACACTACTCTTCTTTTCACCTGTCACCTCCCATGAAGACAGAACTCTCCATCCTTGAACTTGCTTCTGGTATGAGACTCTAACATGGTCCTGGTGATCACCCTTCACCCCCAGTGCTCATATGCTTGTGTGATCTCTCTTCCCAGGGGTCCCTAATGAGCAGAATATGGCAAAAGTGATGGGAGTAGTACTTTCACAATTAGGTTACAAAAAGATTCTGGTTACCATAATTATCTCTCTCTCTCTATGCTTCTCCTCTCCCCATGCCCCCCCAAAAGCTGCCATGTTGTTCTATGGAGAGGCTCAAGTAGCAAGAAATTGTGGCAAGTGTCAAAAATATCTCCAACCACATCACTGGAGACATCAGACAAAGTCACAGCAGATTCCTAACCCAGAAATACTGATGTGATCAGTGCTTTTTGTTTGGAGTCATTCATGCTTTAGAGTAATTCGTTATGCAGCATGACTGATAAAACTCTACACACTCAGATCTGAGCTGTGGTACATCCTATTCCCAACTCACAGAGCATTCCTACCAACCTTCCAATGCAGACCCAGTTCACCTAACTGAAATCATTTGTGAATGGGATGACACCTCCTCCAGGAAGCCTTCCCTGCCTTCCCTCATTAGAGCACTGACCACATCACACGGTAAGCTCCATGAGGGAAGGCACTGTGGCTATTGTGATTCACTTTGGACCCCCTGTATCCATAAAAGGATTGACCACAGAAGAAGGGTTGCAGATATTTTGTGAATGACTGAGGCCTATAGAAGATTTCCCTCTTTGCACTGAGCTGAATTTTCTCCCTGCACCCAGACTCCATGTGATGCAGAAATCGACTCGGTCCTGAGTTTCTAGAAGCCAAGCTTTTCATTTGCACAGTTATCATATTGAACTCAAACCTGATATGTCCGCTGAGCTTTAACAGCTCCTTTTCTAATTCTTTCTCTTTTTTTCATTTTCATGGTCCCTTTGAGGGGCAGCATTAGCCACAGCTTACACATAGGAAGAACAAAACAGAAGAGCATGACTAAGTTTCATCGACAACCAAGAACAAAACTCCTGTCTCAAGACTGCTATCTATCCAAAGCCTCGGCCTAGAACTGCTCTGGAGAAAGTGATGAGATGAACCTACACTATCATTACTGAACAATTTCATCTAAAAAAACAAATGAATACTGATGTAAAATATATAGAGAGAAATAAAAAAAAGTATATAAGCAGAGATAGGAATATATTTATTTTTTTCTTTTATTAATTGTAATTCATGCTTGTAAATTTTTCAGGAAATGTGAAAAAGTATAAAAAAGAAAATAAAAGTTACTTTCTAGCCCTCCCCAAAAATAAAATAAAATAAACAAATGAAGATTGTCCCCCTCCCCCGACTTGTGACTAACGGTTTCCTTCATCACCCAGGCATCTCAGTAAGCAAATAAAGGATAATATGAAATTTTTAGTCTCTAAGGGAAAAAGACAGCAGAATCAAGGAAACAAAGTAAAATCTAATTAAGTCAGATCTGGAAAAAGGAAAGTTATGGGGGGAAAATCAGTAAACACTACATTTGGAAAGAAATTAGTTTTGATGCCTTCAGGTATGTATTGGTAAGCTTATAAATTGTGAGGGGGGATATTCAGTAGTAATAAGCAAATTAGGTTAATAAGGGGAAAAAAGGGCCATTCACAATAGGCTTCTTTCCAGACCAATACATCAAATATGAGATTCCAGGCTGGGCTTCTTGTCTCTGAGGAGTCGCAAGACACTTGCTTTGATTTTTATTTTTTTTAACTCATAAGGATCCTATTCACCACGTGAATTCAGTACTGTGAGCAACAGCGCCGAAACCTCAGAGTCCTGACGTGGATAGAATTCAGTGGGAAAAAAAAATCAGTCAGACCAGCTGCAGTCTGTACAGTGGGAAGATGCCTTAGAACCAGTGGCTCTTGCTTCTTCAGTAACTAAATGCCTGCAGGTAGCTCACAGACACCCGCCTCACGCTGAACGCCACTCCCCTGGAAGGTTCTAGAATCTGTACCAAAGATGGCCAAGAGCAAGCCCCAGGGCATAGCCAACCTGTCAGCAGGCTTGTTTGGCTTGGCCCTCACCAAGTTTTTTAATTAGTTATTGACACTTAAATATGAGAGGATTGATATGAAATTCAGATTTCTAGCATCTGGGCCCACAGCCTTCCATGGCAATTATGGGCTGGGACTCAGCAAGGGTTCCCACTTTATCCAGGGTATGCAGCCTCTATTTCTCCAGTCTCCATCACCCTGTTTCTTCTAGGCCCAGCCTGTCTCTGGCATTAACAGAGACAGTTTCCCTAACCTACTGTGGATGGGGCTGACACCCCTACACTAAAAAGATGGCCACCATTTTCTTAAACTTCCATCGGTTGGAACAGAAAGTCACTCAAGAGACCTTTGGGAAAGAGGAAAGGAGTTTTTTTTTGAGAGAACTTGCTGCTAGGGATTTCTCTGGTGCCTGTTTTCCCCTGGCTCTGTCCCTGACTCCCCACCACAGCGTTTCTCCTCTTCTCTGCCTCTGCCATTTCTTCTCCTCTCGGAGGTCAATTTCTTCATAATGTCCATTGAGAGTGGCCGAAAATAGCCAGCCTGCTCTGGCATCTACTTCCTGGCTCGCCTCTCACAGTCCCCCCGGCCCAGTGTCTCATTTTCCCAAATCCAATTTGGCCAAACAGGAATCAGATTGAGGCAGTCGTCAGTGGAAGTCAAACCAACCAATTACTGCTCCCAGTTGCCGGGGTGCAGCCAGGGGCTGGGGGTCCCGCCCTCATAAGAAAGGGGGATTATGTGACACACCACGTGGCTGCCCAGGGCGTCGGGGACTCTAGGGCAGGCACGCTTCCTTCAAGGGGAGGTGGGTCAGGACCCCCCAACCCAGACACAGCCTCCACCTCCCCCACCAAGTCCCTGGTCTTAAGCAATTTGCCTTTCTGCTCCCACAAGGTGCGGCCGGGCTTGGCCTGGCTTCCCGGAGCAGAGGCCTACACAAAGGAGTTATGCACTTCACTCGGCCACCGAGCCCGCAGCCGCACGCACAAATGGAAGCAGTTAGTCTCTGTAATGAATTTGTAATGCTCCTTCGCTTGTTTCCTCTCGGTGCCGGCTGGCCTTTCAAAACAGTGTGAATTCACTGTCGAACAGTAATTGGGCGTCTTTGTAGCCATTCTGGGGTCCACGCCCACTGCATCCCCCACCCAAAGAAACCGCTGCACCTCCTCTGAAGTGGCCATAACAAATTTGCCTTTATTGGCCCGAATTTGGAAACGCCACGTAATTTGCCTTTGAGATAGAACAAAGAGACTATTTTCTCTGGCTCCTCCCAGCTCTGAGAGAGCCAAGAACAGAGCGTGATTCTCAGGCCTCAGGTCATCCTGCAGAAATGAGGAAATTCTAACTGCACGAGAGGCAGAGCGGCCTGGTGGTTATGTTCACAGGACCTGGTCCCTACCCTGGCTGAGCCATACAAGTGCTGTGTGACCTTGGGTAAGTTGCTTCACCTCTCTGAATCTCATTCTCTCCATTAGTTAACACAGATAGTAGCACCTCCTTTGTAAGCCACCCACAAGGTTTCAGTTCATATATGGTCACTGTGATTTTTCTCTCTCTCTTCTCCCAAATACCCACTTCAAAATAGGTGTGCTAGACCCTGAACAGATACTGATGGGGTACACGGAGCTGGCACCACAAGGGGAAGAACTTGAAGCCGCTCAACATTCACGTCAGGCCCAGCCTTAGGCTGTGTGTTTTGAAACACGTATCTGAAATAACCAGTAACAGTTAAACCTACTAAATAGAATGTTCCAGACCATGTCTGCCACTTGCATTCCCCACCCCTGGCCAGAGCTTGGAGTGTACTGGTCGATTCAAACAAAGTGAGATCCTCAAAGGGCAAATGGAAATTTTCTAGGGCAGAGAAGATGGGACAGAAGTTCCCAGTGAAGGGAAATAGGGGTAGGGGTGGGGGTGGAGGGAATCACAGAGGCACAAAGATTCCCAGAATAGAAAAGAAGGGCTGAAGAGTCTGAGGTCTTTCAGGCTGAGATGCAGGATCCCTGGGTCCCCTGGAACAGACTTAGAAATGAACCACTTGAGAATCTGATGGGGTGTCAGAGTCTTTCCAGAGGTAGATGCACAAGATTTGAACATTGACTTTCAAGAGCTGGTGTAGAAGAAATACAAGCAAGACAAATACCTACAAGTTCAAGAAAAAATTACAGAGGGGAAAGCCAATGATTCAGCGTGTATTATATAAAATGTTTCCCTGAAAAATGTCATCATTTGGAGATCCTTTAAGAATTTCCTTCAACTCTTTCCATTTCACTAGGTGCCATCAACTGCAAATGCTGGTAAGTTTTCAAAGGAACAATAGAACTGTTGGTTCAAATACATTAGTAAAGCGGTTAGTCGTGTGTGCCTGCCCACCTTCGCTGAAACACAGGCGGGGGTGCCCGAGTTCACAGGCCAGATCCCCTTGCTGCTCACTCCAGTGGTCGCCTCTGGTCCCCTCGGCCCATGTCCTAGCTGTCCTTAGTCACTCTCCCTGGAGAGAAGAGTCTCTGACCTGCAGATTCTCCCCTGGCCCTTGGACATGCACATTTAACCAATAGCAGGACTAGGAGCTCAGCATGAGGTGGCTGAAATTGAAAGTGAAACTGGAAAGGGAGAAAGCAGTTCTATCAAAATGTATATGACTCATTTTTACCGGTGGTGTCAAATCAGATTTTGATGTGGTGGCATCAATGAATAATAATTAGCATTTTTAGTCTGTTACATCAGTGTGGAATTGTATTCCAAGATTCAAACAGTAACCAGCAAATACATGAGACTTGGGGGTGGGGGAGGTGGGTTCCTTGATATAAAATCATAGATCTTCATCTTCCTGAAAAAGAAAGGCTTTGCCTTCCCCCAACATATCCCAATTAAGGCTTTTAAGCCCTGGGTTGGGATGTATAACAATGAAGCAGCCAGAACAAGCTAAAGAGGGCTTGGAATTCAAGATAAAACACAAGGCAAAGTGGGACTTAGACCAGGAGCTGGGCCAGGACCATTCTCACCATGGAGGGGGTGTGCCAGAAATGGGGAGCCTGAAGGCAGGATGCTTGTAAGAGTCTCTCTCTCCACCTCCTCCCTCCCTCCCTCCCTGTTATTTGTGCTATTTCTCTAGCCCTGCATGGAGCTCCAAGTCTCTTGATGCCTTGCCTTTGGGGAGTGATGCCACCCGCCTCTGCTTCTTCCTCAAAGGTCACATCCCGCTGATGACATAAAGGAAATGGCCCTTCTTCATTATCTATCGTGTTGTCATTGTCAAGTCTGCCCTTGCTGTTGCCACTGCTGATGATAATCGTTAACGATGGCGATGTTTATAAGGAAGCTTGACTGCCCAAACAATCTGTGAAGAGCATCCATGACTTTCTCTACATGCCCAGGATCCACCGAATTATCTCTCAGAAAGAAGGTACATGCCTAATAGTTGAGGACATGGGTCAGTGAGCATTATTTGAAAAGGGCCAGAGAGCAAATATTTTGGGGTTGATAGAATGCACAGTCTCCATCTGCTCAGCTCTTCCCTTGTAATGCAAAAGTGGCCATCAAAAAGATGTAGGCCAGGGGCCTTCCTGGTGGTGCAAGGAGTTAAGTCTTAGCACTGTGACGCTATCTGCAGCCACTGCAGCATGAGTTCAATCCCCAGCCAGGGAGCTGACCCACATGGCGCAACAGACCTCTCCTGTCTCACCTGCTGCTCCTCTCAGCAGTGTACTTCAGTAGATCTGCCTGTTCTGCTCCCCACTCTGTCTCCAGCGAATCCTCACACGCCCGCATCTCTGGTCTGCACCCCAGTTCTTGTATGCATAAGTAAATAAATCTTTAAAAAAAAAAACAATGTAGGCACATGGTCAGGGCCACATTGCAATAAAACTTTATTGGTAAGAACAGGTCGTGGTAGTGGAGGGAGCTGTCCTGCAGGCTGTGGTTTGCATCTTCTAGATCTTAAAAAAGCTTCTTGCATTACGTGTAGAATATGTGGAGAGGGATATGCTCACAATTACTTTATGTGAACGACATATTATTCTAAAATGATTTAAATCACTGTGTGGGAACTTGTAAGTCTCATTGATGGACTCATTTAAAAATCTTTGTCATTTGTGGGCTCAATTCTTTTTTACTGCATATTTCCCAAGTCATCTTAGGATGCTTACTTGTTCATTTAGTTTCTTTTATCCGAGATGTGTCTGTCTTTGTGCAGGGGTGGCTGCAAACGGCAGCAAACCGCATGGAGGCTGTGATGCAACCTCTAATGAACATGACTATGTACGGAATGGAACAAGATTCACTAAAATGTGGTCTCCCAATTGCAAGTGGTAGAACTTGTTATTAATAAGCTGTAGATCAGGCATATTAGAAAAAAAATACAGGACAATTGAAAAACTCCATCAAAATGGGAAAATGAGAAATAAGTAGGCACATGTCTGTTAGAATAAGATTTCCAGGAGGGTATATTGTCAGAGCTGAATCATGAACGGCACGGGTGGGGGTGGAGGAGATCTGCTCTGGGGCCTTGATGGGTGCCCCTAGGTGCTGCCTAGAAAAGATCACCTGGAGGAGAAAGACAGGTGGCAGAGACGCAGGGTAAGAATGAAAAGATACCAGGGATTTTTTTTAGATGGGAGAGGTGGGGAGGGAGAGGTGGGGAGGGACAGCAACATTTCCAAATGTATAGATTCTCTTAACACAGAAAGTGATTTTAAATATTATTTTTATACATAAATTAAGATATCAAATAGCATAAGGCGTTTGATTATTTTTTCTCCACAGCCTTGAAAACTGGCACATTTGAGTTGTTTAAAAAAAAAAAAAACACAACACTACTTACAGTAGCTAAGACACACAAACAAACCAAATGCCCCGAAACAGATGACTGGATCAAGAAGATGTGGTATATAGACACCATGGAATACGACTCGGCTGTCAAAAAAAGATAAGCTCATGACATCTGTGGCAACATGGGTGGAGCTGGAAGGGGTTGTGCTTAGTGTCTTAAGTCAGAGGATAAAAGATAAATATTGGATGAGTTCACTTATATATGGAATATGTAGAAATCGAACAAAGTGTCGGGGTGGGGGAAAAGGACAGAAAGGGCAAGCTGACCATAGATCTGAGGTATACAGCAGGGGAGGGGGAGGAAAAGGTAAAATCAGGGGAGGCAAAAGCAGAAGGGACTGTGGTGATGGATTACGGGTGCCACAGAGGTGAGAACTACAGGGATTATACCTGAGGGGAGAAATCAAATACCATCCAAAAAGTAACAAAGATGTAAAAAAATAAAAAATAAATTATTGAAAAAAAAAAAAAAACCCAAGAAAAACAACTCCCTGGTGGCACAGGGATTAAAGACACAGCACTATGTAGCTATCACCAGCCACTGCAGCACAAGTTCGATCCCCGGCCAGGGAGATACCCACATGGCGCAGCAGACCTCTCCTGACTTGCCCGCTGCTCCCCTCAGCAGTGTATTTCAGTCAACCTGCCTGTTCTGCTCCCCACTCTGTCTCTGGTGAATCCTTTCACCCCCCACACCTCTGGCCTGTACCCCAGTTCTTGTATGCATAAATCTTTTAAAAAAATAACAAATAAATTAAAAAGTCATCATTTCCCCTTGGGAAAATAGAAGCATCATCTCCGAGACCTTTGGCAGGGCTTGGCAAACAGTGGGAAGCCGTGAATAAAAAGAAGGCATGAGAGAATGAATGAATGAATGAATGAATGAACAAATAATTTGACCGCTCCCTGTTAAGCACAGCACCTCATAAAAACTCAAAGGCTAGCCATTAAGGAGATCCACATCCATTTGGCCAGAAATGGGGAATTATCTTAATCTCCACCTGCGGGAGCTGCCTCTCCCAGAATTTAGCATGTTAATCTCTTTCTCAAATAGCCGGGAGAAAGCCAGCTGGGCCCCTCAGCCCACAGCACCCCGACCTCCACTCCTCCTGAGCAGCACAAACCACATCAGATACAACTCCAGCCCCCAAAAGTGGGCCTGGGGTGGGGCTGGGGCAGAAATGTTTGGGATGGGATTCTGGAAATCCTTTCTCCAGGGGACAAAGAAACCAACACAACTCAAGACTTGATTCTCCTTTCCGCTCCCCCGGATGACTGGGCACTGAGGCCTTGTGGGGAAGCAGAGATCAGGCTAAAAGAGCTGGAAGGGGAGGGAGGGAGGGAGGGAGGGAGAGCTCTAACAGGAAGGCAGACCGACTGTCACAGTCAAAATACTGTCATGTATTTACTATGGAGGACTCAGCTGTGCCAGGCTGGTACCCAGGACGCTGCCTGCATCACCTCCCCTGCACCATCAGCCCCATCTGATGGCAGAGTCAGGCCACTGGACCGCCCCAAGTCACCCGCCCACCCGGCAGGAGAGGGAGAGCTCCTGGACTGTCTCTGCAAAGGCTGGACCTTGAACCCTCAAGTTCAAACTGCCTCTGCATTTTCGAACTGGTCACTGTCACAACAACAACAAAACCAATGAAATCAGCCAACACAAAGACTTCTACAAGCCAGGCTTTGCACCCACTGCAGTCACTGTGCCCCCCCCCCCAACTGCGTAACTGAGGAGACAGCAGCACAAAGAGGTGACGCATTTCCCTAAGGAGCCAGGTAGTGGCAGAGCCAGGAGTTGTCCCGGTTTGCCCAGGACTGTCCCAAGTGAGCACGGAAAGCTGCGAGTTCCTGAAAACCCCTCAGACCTAGAAGCCAGGATACCGGTAGCCCCGGCCAGGAGCAGAGCCCGGGCAGCGTGGCACTGCAGGACATGCCCTCAGCCAGCTCCTGGCCCTCTGGGAAGGCGCATGGCAGAACTGCTATGGGCATGGGCTTTGAGGTCAGACCAAGACCCATTTCGAGTTCAGCCTTTGCCATCATTAGCCGCGGCGTCCACAGGGCTTCGTTTTCCTGACCTGGGAAATAGAATTGAGCCTCTCACTCCTTTGCTGGTTTCAAGGACTCGGCAAGTTAATTGCTGCCAAAAACAGGGCGCGACACAGGTGAATGCCCAGCTTGGGTAGGATTGTCAGGTCTCCCCATCACAGTAAGTGAGACAATATAGGGGACCCCAGAGGGGGCCGTGTGGGAAAGTCCTGGACAGGAAAGTGTGTTAACAAAGGATTAATCCCAGCATCTGCCGAGGCCGGGGCTAGGGGAGTCCGAGTCACCCTCGGGTCACACCAGCTGCTGTCATCTCCCGTCCCAGGCGCCCAGATATCCTGGCGAGGCGAGGAGGCATCTGTGCCGCCCACTCGATCCTGTCTCAGGCTTCAGTCGTCAGCAGTAACCTCGAGAGCCCAAGGAAAGCGCCTCTGGCTTCCTCCCTCCTCCTTTGGCTATTTGTGGCCTTTGTACTTTGTAAGGGACAGGGAGGTGATGCTGTTCTCTTCCGTCACACATTCTATTCTGAACAATGGCAGCCAGGAAGCTCAACCCATCAAGTCTCCTGATTGCCTCCCCATTCTCCTAGAATCCCAGGATGGAGAAACCTGCCTGGCACTCCATTAATAACTAGGTCAGCCTCCACAGTGAATTAATTATGCATTCCACTATCTCCCAGGCAAATTCTGAGGCCAGTGCCAAGGAAGGCCATCATTTAGTCACTCAACAAACACAAGGAGGCGCCGTGGAACAGGGTGTGCTCTGGAACCAGCCTGCTGGAGGTTTCACTGCAGCTCTGCTGCTTCCCAAGGACCTGCCCTGGGTGTCAAGTTCATCATGTCTCTGTCCCTTCGTGTCCACATCTGATGAGGAGTTAACAGAACGCTCAAGCTAGTGTGCTGTAAGAACAATGCGTGGCAAGTAGTATGTGCTCAATAAATGCTGCTTATCATTCTAACAGTATCATTTATGTTAAAATGAGTATGTCTTTAAGTCAGTGATCCTTTCTCTAGAGCCTCACCGTTGGGCCATTTTGAAAGCACAGAACAGCACCTAGAGGGAAAACCTTACAACATTGGCATTGAGTCCAGTGGGAGTGTGAAACACAGCCACTTTCTCTTGCTAATCTCATCAACCCACGGCCAGCCTCATGGACTTGTGGCCAGTGTCAACCCTGGGTCTCACACTGAGAAGGGTCCCTTCAACTGAGATGACTGTCCTGAGGCCAAATATCCTGAGCCATATAAAGAATGCATGGCCTGCCCAAACACGACCCACCGGCTCTTTCTAAGATGTCCAGAATCGACTTTCCAAGTACGTGTCAGCTTGTGCTAGATTTAAGGACATCTCCAAATATACATTCTTACCAGAAAAAAAAAAAAAAAAACAAACCCAAAACCTCTCTTGAGGCAGGGTTAGCATCTAGAGGGACAGTTTTATCCTAGGAAGTCATCGTCCTCTCGTTCTCGTCATATGAGGCCTTCTCTCTTTCCACCACGCCCAGGGCCCTACCCTACCCCTTTGCTCAGGCTATAAACCCCCAGCTTGTCCCATTTACTTGGGAATTTACAGCCATGCAAATTCTCCATACATATGTTATTAAATCTGGTCTTTTTCTCCTCTAATCTGTCTAATGTTAATTTGCATATTCATCCAGGCAGAGAAGAACTAAGAGTGGGGGGAATGTTCCCTTACCCCCAACAACTTGGCAAGCCAAGCAGGAGGCTTATCAGAAGGCTGGATGATGCTGGTATCCCAGGAGGAGGCAGAGGACAAAAGGGCTGGCAGCTAAAGAGTCTCACCCTGCCAGACCCCTGATCTCTCTCCATCTGAAGAAATCTGCACCCCAACGTAAGTGAACTGCCATGGGACAACGGAGCATGCACTGAGGTTTGAGGCCCGGCCTCACGCCCCTCCCACCCCCTCCCCTTACAAGGTGTGGGTGGAGGGCTTTGACATATGACATTGCTAACAGACTCTCTGCTCTCTTCTTTGTGTTAACATTCCCTTCTGTGTCAGAGTAAAGTGGGGAAAGAAAAGAAAAATAAGAGAAAGCAGTAAGGAGCAAGGAAACCATACCCTGTGACTGGTATCAGCCCTGCATCCTCTCCTTGCAAACCTGACACTTCTCTGAAATCGGCTTCCTCATCTGTAAAGTGGGTAGAATTACTCTTAGGATTCTCAAAGGACTAAGTGAGATAGTGCTGGACCTGACTCTCCTCTTGACATCAAAAAGTACTCAATACATTGGGCTGTGAAGCTGCCCACAGCCTCTGCAGTGCTGGTTCCATCCCCGGCCGCAGCGCGATGGTCCCACATGGCGCGCAGACCTCTCCTGCCACCCGCTGCTCCCCTCAGCAGTGTACTTTGGCAGTCTGCCTGCTCTGCTCCCCGCTCTGGCTCTGGTGAATTCTCTCACCCTCCTGCGCTTCTGACTGTACCCAGTTCTTGTATAAATAAATAAATAAATCTTCTTTTTTTTAAAAAAGTACTCAATAAATGTTATTTCTATCCTTCAAGCAACAATCACTAGAATAATTAGCTCATCAGGCTGAATGGGTAAGCCCCAGGACCAGAACAAAATTGTTTTCTCTCCAGGTTCAACTTGCTCATTGGTTCTTCTGCAGGTGAAGGAAGCAAAAACGATCTATTTTTCTCTCATCCCTTTTCTGTTGTTGTTATTCTCTGGGCCACTTCCTCCCCAAGCAGAGTTTTGCCCCAGAGCTTCCTGGCCCCGGCTGGTCTGGCCACTTCTGGCCCCAGCCACGCCAGTCAAATCCCAGCTCATTGTAACACAGACATTCACCAAGTCTGCATTTGCATCTAATGTCCTGGAGAGACTGTTAAGTGTGTTTTACATTGTTTTTGTATTATTACTACAACAAGAGAAGATGTAATGGAAATATACCTGGATGT